GGCCAACAACTGTGCCAAGTTTGGAAGAAATTGGTGCAGCGGTTACCAAGATATACACATGTAACCATAAGTGGGCGTGGCTACGCCCATTTTCCAAAAATTTATAATATTCTTATTTTTCGTCTAAAAATTATTGTAAATATCAATTTTGAGTGAATTATCTTCAGTAGTTACTAAAATATCGCAGTTTTCGTATTTCTGGAAATTACCGTTATATGGGAAGTGGGCGTGGTTAAAGTCCGATTTCGCCCATTTTCAATACCAACCTACCTTGGATTAAGGGAAACCTACATACCAAATTTCGTTGAGATATCTCAATTTTTGCTCGAGTTATCGTGTACACGGACAGACGGACAGACGGACAGACGGACGGACAGACAGACATGGCTTAATCGATTTCTTTTTTCATCCTGATCATTTATGTATACATTTGTCTATATCTATCTCGATTCGTTTTGGCTGTTACAAACAACCGTTATGTGAACAAAATTAATATACCCTTGTGCACAAGTGCGCTCGGGTATAAAAATAAGCAATTGCTTTTTTAAAAATTTCATACCTCTTAAATTTTTTTGAAAAATTCGAGCAAAAGGTCTGAAATTTTAATAAAAAGCAATTGCTTAATTTTTATTCATAAGACCCAATGTCGACTGAGAACTTTTTGCTGATATTAGTAGCATTGACGTACCTGATAATTATTGAAACTTTCAAAAACTATCAGCTTTTTGCGTTCGCGTACGTAAACAACTTGCAAGGTAAGGAAAATTGAGAGAGCAAAGCGACTTTTTATTTTGAGGGTAAGCTGCTAGTTTCTGCTGCAAAAATTTTTGCCAGCAAGAAAACAACGGATCAAAAACAGCTGGTTGGAATCTATGCAAATCACAATATTTAGGAGTTAAAAATGATGAAATGCGACTAATTAAAATTGTAAGAAGTATGTAATTGTTCGTATAACCAATAAACTGTGTCAGGATAACACTTTAGGATCAGGTTTGTTACGTTTTAAATTTACACTTTTGAGTGTAAACAAAAATTCTATTAGCTCTTCATCTAACTTGCAAGTTTCTGCAAATTTTCTGACAGCATACTATTGTGGATATTTTTCTCTTGAGAGAGAACAGATTACATTTCACCGGAATTTTGCTGTTTGATGGTTTTTACTGTAGATTTATTCTTACTTATTGTTTATATGTTCCATAGTGAGTGCGTAGAATGTTTAAGCTATTCACATTGTTCAATGGCATTTTGCCCAATATTACAGGGAAGTTATTTGAAAAAGATTAGTCCCAATTAGCCTTGGAATTGAGAATGTTGATTACCTTTAAAGTGATAAACAATTGAATGGAAACTACTTAAACTACGAAACTTAGATCGTAATCCATCGATAGCGGCTGTTAATAAAGCTTGGCTAACACAACACATACCTGCCTGGTCACATTTAGGTGGATTGAAAAAGAGTCCCGGCTTGAGAGGATTCTCCTCTTCGTCATGAACTTCGATCATTAGCCACCCAATTTGGATGGGTTGCTGACGGTTTTGCTGCTGCTGGCGTTCAACGCTCTCCCAAATGTAGATTGCGCGTTTAATATCAATTTCAACCCAGCCAGTTTTGGAAATGTTCATCATTGTGGTGTTGCAAATGTGCTTCTTACGCTCTGCAACAAAAGGCAAAGTTAGATGTAGGAATTCTTATATGAACATATATTTACACATACTCTTGTGGCCAGCTGATTACGTTAAGTGATAATTTTTTTACCAGTTTTGGCCATTTTTATTTTGTTTATTTAATGATTAATATTTTTTTTTATAAAAGTCTAGCATATTATATAACCGGCACCATATAAATCCACATTTCAAACTTTGTACACAAATTATAAAAATTCAACAAACCTTATGAATTACACCCAAAAATATCAAATTTTTATTCAGAGTGTTAGGTATGCAGTTTTTTAACCCATTACATTTTAGCAAGATATAGTGCAAATTTCAAGACGCTAAAAAATCGCGTTGATTTCACAAGAAATTGTCGAGCATACGAGCCGAGCAAGTTTAAAATTTTTGGATCCAATTGTTAAATTTTTATAACTTTTGTACAAAGTTTGATATGCGGATTTATGTATATGGTGCTGGATATATGATATGCCAGACTTTCATAAATAATAATAAACATTAAATAAACAAAAGAAAAATAGCAAAAACTGGTCCAAATGTCACTTAACTTAATAAGTTGACCACAAGTGTATGTATATTTGTTCATTTACAAATACTTTCTCTTTTTATGTAAGTGTAAGTAAAAAGTGATGTCGTGAAATACGAACACGTATGTATGCAGGTACTTATTTACATATATAAGTGTGGCCTAAACCATAGCACTTCGAGAAAATCAAGATATAAATTAATCCTATTTTATTAAATTTGCAGCATTGAATATAAAATATATATATAGGTAATACGCTCGATTATCAAAAATGGGGTATCAAATTAAAGCGCGCTTGACCATGATACAAATATTTAAAGGTAGTTTCCCTTTTTCGTTTTATTCGCTATTGCTTCCATTTGACGTAAACGGTGCTTTTGAAATTTTCTTTTAAATTGAAGATTTTTTTTTTTAATATTTGAAAAAATTCATTTGGAGCATCATTTTATAGCGAGCTTTTAGTGATTTATTTCTAAAATTAGATATAAAACGGAAGGCAAGTAAAATACTCGTATTACATTATGTAATGCACATAGAGAATCTATATGTTTATGCAATTATTTTCATCATTAGCTGCTTGTTTTTGTAAACCAGCGACAAAAGAACGCTCAACTCGGGTAAAATTTCCTTTTCATTTACTTAAGCAACCCTGTTGGTATCTGGCAAGAAACATGTGATTAGTTTAACGGGATCTAGACACAAGAACAATAGGAATGAGTACTTATGCGAAGTATTGCGTAATACTTATTTAAAATATAAATCATGTATATTCGAAAACAAAAATTTCCCTCTCCAACTTCCCATTAACAATTCAAAATAGAGGAGTTTTTTCTCTTACCAACAGCACCCTTCCGGTAGAAATTAGTAATTATGCGAGGTATTTGCGTAATATATATACTTATTTTAAATATAAATCATGTATATATAATGTAACCAACTATTTCATAAAGAAGTACAGGTTAGGTTGGGTCAACTTAACGCCGCGAGCCGATTACGAAATTTCGAATGCGGCTAATTTCGATCCCTGAGAGCTCAGTGTTTGTTTAAAAGTGCTGTCCGAAATGCTTCAATCTTAGCCTCGCGAATGTTGGACAGTCTAAAGAAAGTGTGGAGCAGCGTTGCCAGTTTGACGTTTTTAACGTCATTTGGACGTTTTTTTTATCCTGTTGACGTTTGGACGTTTTTTGTGTAAAAAATTACGTTTTTCTTAATAAATCTTTACAAGCTTGGTGTTTTGCAGCAGCTGCTTCAAAAAATATTTATTCCCTGGACACAGATGACTTAAATATGATACAAACCAAGTGTACGCGCATTGTTTTTGGATTCTTGGACAAAGGCTGGTTGTGTAAACACTTGAGGTTACGAGACTAATTGTAATGTTTGCAATTGCACATTAAAAGCCAAATCAGGAAGAGCTGATCTATTGCAACACGCACGCTCGCAAAAGCATCAAAGCAGCATAAAAAGTCAGAAAAAAGTAGGCGACTTTTTTAAGACTTCATTGAAAATGTAATGATCGCAAAAAAGGCTGAAATATTGCTATGCTCCTTCTTAGTAGAACGTAAGTTAGCATTCTCGACAACCGACCCCCTAACTAAATGTGTACAAGATAAAAAAATTATTAAAATCAACGCGATTATGTAGCCCCTTTAAACTTGCACATTATTGCCCTGAAATTTAATGGGCTATCAAACTGCATATTAAAAAAAAAAATTTTTTAAATCTTAATAAAAGTTGAAAATATAGCTGAAACTTTGCAGATATTTTTTATAATTTTTGCACAAAGTTTCAAATATGGATTTATATTTTGTTTGTTATATAATGAGTTTGCCTTTTATGGAAAAATAATAAACATTAAATAAACAAAAGAAAAACAGCCAAAATCGATCAAAATATTGATGACTTAATCTGCTGATCACAAGTGTATGTATAAAATCATTTTTATATTAACGATCTCAAGCCACTTTACAATGAATTCTAATTGTACTCTGTCTAAATGACATTTTAACATACCTTACGTACATATGTACCTTTGTATTCAATAAAAGTTTAATAAGAACAGTTTTTTGTGCCTTCATTCGAAAAAGACGTTTTTGGGTAGGAAATTACGTTTTTTTAGACCAGGAGGGACGTTTTCTCATGCCGAAGACCTGGCAACACTGGTGTGGAGATGATTCCACTTCATCTTCCTCTTGTCAGCTGATACAAAAGGATCAGTTGAAATTCCTCGCCTCACCGCATGAATACCTATCGCGCAATGGCCTGTTGGAACCCCCATCACTAGCCCTTGAGAGGTAACGTGTTTTAAAGTGCCCTAAAACAAAATTTCTTTCAGCAGAGCATGTTCCGTCTCATGGGGATTGAACCCCGACAGCCTTTGTAGCAATCAATTGTATCAAGCATCTTTGTCATAGTTGCCAACTTGGTGCTTTGAGCACTAGATTTAGTGCATTTTGAAAATTAAAACGCCAAAAAAAATTATTTAGTGCCTAGTGCCTTTTTAGTGTTTTTTCTGAACTAAAATTACTTCGAGATAGTTAAAAATTGAAATAATTTGAAATATTTGAAACTGTCGCAGCACTGGATTTACAATAATCTACAAATTTAAATGGACTAAAATACAACCATGATTGATAAAAAGCTTAAGTTGCAAACTCAACTTGTTAAATTCTATTCGCGTTGAAAATGCTAGTACGCAAGTAAGTTAAGTATTTATTTTTTTCTTTTCTAATTACACTGGTCGACGGCCAAAATTTACCAGAGACGCCGTTATGAAATTCGTATGTAAAATCACCCCCTGATTCCGAAAATCAAGGTTATTTTTAATTTTATGGTACCGTTTTTGAGATATTTGCAATTTACCGTTTTTGCAAAAAAAATAAAAAATTGGGTCCACTTAATCATATATATCTCGAGAACGAATTAAGCAATTCCAAAACGGTAGATTCAAAGATAACGAACAATCATTACCGATTTTTTCAATTTTTTTTGTAAAAATATACAAAAAATTTTACTTTGCGGGGAAGGATCTCGAAAACCTTTTATTTTTTTGCAGATTTTGCGAAGAAAATCGATGCAAAACTACGTAAGTTATAAGCGATCAAATGAGATATTATCCGGATAAACGAATAACACCATAACAATGATAACACTTTTTCTTTAAATAAATCAAATAGAACTTATAATACTCGAATTGTATTATAGTAGGTAGAGTGGTTGCATCGAAAGGAAGAGTGGTTGGGTTCGAAACCTGCTGTAGGCATGTAGTTATAAACATGTATTTCCGTCAGTTATGGGTAAGTATGCAGGTAGATTTTCAAAATTATAAGACACAGAAAATTTCTAAAGCCTACATCTAAAACAGGTAGTATTTTCTTTTCCCGGCTTGTTATAAAAAGGAACCTTTCTGTCTAGGTAAGATTTGATTTTTTCAATTTTATTCTTGTTCCGAGTATAAATATGAGTTAATGCGCTTTGAAACTTCATAACATCTTCAAGGCTCGCCGGAGATAGTTCAGTTCATAAGTCTAATTTCAAAACCGTGATTTATTAAAAAAAATAAAATGAGTAAAAGGACGCGAGAATTTGAGTGTAATAAGGATCCAGATATGTTCTGTTTCATGTGTGGCCAATATACTATCATAAGGCGACGACGAGTGTTCTCAGATCATATCAAAACTTTATACTCCAAGTATTTTGGAATTGAGCCTAAAAATGCTGAAAAACCATGGACACCGAACACTTTGTGTACATCGTGTCGAGTAGAATTGATTCAGTGGGAATCAGGACAACAAACAAAATTTGATACACCAATGATATGGAGAGAACCTACTTGCCATTCAATAGAGTGTTATATTTGTCAAACAAAAGTACTTGGCGTTGGAAGATCAAGAGGAGTAACCTATGCTAGCGTACCTACAGTGACATTACCAGTACTACATTCAACGGCAGTTGCGGATCCAGTTCCATTGTCAACAGTAACATCTGAGTGCGGGGGATCAAGTTGTACTGAATTTCGCATGGAAAACGAAAGAAACGTTCTGTCACAAGCACAACTTAATGATTGGATAAGAGATTTGGAACTATCCAAGGAAAACGCCGAGATCCACACTTCTCGTATGCAACAATTTAAATTTGTGTCATCCGATGTTAAGGTGACATATAGTAGAACTCGTCACGAACCATTTTCCAAACACTATACCAAGAAAGACAGTATATGCTACTGCAACGACATCCCTGGTTTATTCAAAGAGTTTGGTCAAACATATGATTCAAAAGACTGAGTTTGAAGGCTGTATTATTGCATATTGGTAACAAAAAGCCTTCTATCCCGATTGCACATGCAGTAAATACAAAGGAAACCTACGAGGAAATGCAAAAAATACTCAAATTTATCAAATATGAAGAGCATGATTGGAAAATATGTTCTGATCTCAAAGTCGTTGCAATGCTAT